AAAAAATATATATATATATATATATATATATATATATATATATATATATATATATATATATATATATATATATATATATATATATATATATATATATATATAATATGCATAATATAACCCTTTTGGTTGATGTTTTACATATGTGTTTACCTCATGTGTAGGAATGGTTCTGCTCCTGGCGTTTGAATGATATAGTAAAAACCTCATAATAATAATAATATTAAAAAGAGCTTTATAGCGTGTTCTTGGATGGTATTATGACATTATTATGATATTGTTATGACATTATTATGATTATAACTATATTTCAGTTTTCCGAAGTACATTTTCTTTTTATTTTAAGTTCTCTCATTGAAATAAGATAATCCTAATTTGTCTTTTTATACAAGCGACAAGACAACAGAAGCGGTGGTATACTGTAAACATACTAGGAATGCTTATTTATTGGTTAGACATGAATATTTGTACTGTTTTAGATTAATGGTGATTGGTTGAATATATAGCCTCAGGTTGTAGATGTTTTTTACTGCTATTTAACATCTAAACCGCATCTTCCACTTCATCTGAAATATTGAAACCCACTACAAATCAAACAGTAAGGGACTTTATAATCATTTTAATCTCATCATTCAAAGAAGGAACACCAGTGCTTGGACGTTAGTTGGTTGAGAACATGATATACTTCAAGCTGCATAAAACACTATGATGATCATTTTTGGAGCGCATTTTTCAAGAAAAACGTAAGTTTTATTTAAATTGATTATTACTACTAAAACAGTGGTAAATAGCTAACAAAACTGTACTCTTGATTAAAAAAAATGTGTTTGTTGTTCGTTCAAACTGCTTATTTTAAATGAGATAAAACAACACAATTATTGAGTTATTTGGGGGACAACTTTTTATTATTTACCTTACGACCTTACTTATGATTTTACCTTTAATCCACTTAATTTTGTAAAAACTAATACGTTTACTTAATTCCTTTATGTTTTTCCAACACAAATCGATTGTTTGGAACCCAGCATTTTTCACAATGAGGGCAATGGCTACACCAGAGAGAAAATATGAATGATTCTGAAGCTGAAAATACAGATTGTTACACTGACTGAACACATAAGTAGGCCTATTTTTTTGTATCAAAGTAGACATTTGGCATTAGAAG